GGGCTCAGGCAATTCACTCGCCTCGGCCTCCCAAAGTGCTGGGATTACAGGCTGAGCCACCGAGCCCAGTCAGTTTTTGCTTCAATGGGACCAGACCTTTTAGGACATAAGTGTGACTAGGAAAGCCATGGGATCTGGTCATGGGTGGGAGACCCACCTAAACCAGTGAAAGGACAACGACGTGGTTGCTAATTTGCTTTCCAAGTCTAGACTGCTCAGTGGAGCTGATCCACACGTGCAAGGGCACCTGTGTCTGCAGTGACAGGGCCAGGGCCATGCACTGGTGGAAGGAGGTCAGCTCCAGCCCATCTGGTTGTGGCCGGGCTGGTGCCATCTTCCCAGAAGTAGTGGCCACTTCCCATGTAGGATGACAGGTGAGACTGGGGAACCAGGGACATTAGTGCACACAGGGATTCTCAGGGTCTGGTCCCTGCCTTTTGGGCTCCCTATCTGTCCCATTAGCCTCAGTGCCTGATGAGACTCAAACACCTGCTGAGCCCAAGCAGGAACATCAATTTTTTTTGAGACAGAGTCTCGCTCCATGGCCAAGGCTGGAATGCAGTAGGGCAATCATGGCTCACTGCAGCCTCAACCCCCTGGGTTTAAGTGATCCTCCCCCTCAGGCTCCCAAGTAGCTAGGATATAGGCATGTGCCACCGTGCCTGGCAATTTTTTTTTTTTTTTTTTTTAGAGACAGAATCTTACTATGTTGCCCAGGCTGGAGAAATATGAATTCTGATGTGAAGATGGAGTGGTCTGGGAAGGCTTTCGGCAGAGGTAGCCTTTGAGCTGGGTCTTGCAGAAGAAGAATTTCAAGATGCACAGAAGATGAAACAGTGCCCTTAGTGTCCAGGGAATGGACACAAGCAAAGGCTGGGAGACTAGATTGCCTGTGTCACAGAGATGGCCAGTGCAGAGGCACAGAAAAGGATGTGATAGGATGTGAATCTGGAAAACTCGGTATTATTGTGCTTATCACCCTAGAAGCAGCGTCTGCTTTGGCTCTGACCAATCTGAGCCTCACTCTCCTCATGTGTAACCCGGGGAGAACCGCCCTATTTCTTCTTGGGCTTACAACATGCCCTGGGAATAAACGAGTCCCATTTTCTCAAGTTAATGCATTACCCAGAGCTCAGAGGACGCCTTGTAGTGTCAGAAAGGCTTAGGTTCAAATTCCATGTCTGCCCCTTCCTCACTGGGCAGCTCTTGGCAAGCCTCCGTGTGTTCCCTCATCAATAAAGTGGAGATAACAAGCTCTACCCAGGAGTGATACCCCTGATGTACATAAAGGCCTGGCACAGTGAGAACCTGGACAGCAGGGGTTTCCTGCCCCAATCCCCACCCCCAAAGGGACCTCACTTACGTAAGAGGCCAGCAGGGTAGTTGGGGCCAGGATGAGAGCCAGGTAGAGGCAGGGAGCTGCCGCCAGCAGGCTGGAGGCACAGATGAGGGGCTCGGCCCTTGGGTTGACTTTCTTGTACCTCCTCGAAATCTCTGCCCCCAGGATGACCCCAATAATGCCAGTCACGATGGTCAGCGACCCAAAAATCAGGCTGAGAGGGAGGAGTAGAGAGGGGTTGGTCAACTGAATGGAGTCAGGATAGGAGCCCTTCATCCTGCCCCTACCCCCAGGCCTAGCCACCTGGCCCAAGCGCCTGGTGCCTACAGGGAACCTACCCCTCTCCTCCCTCCTAGTCAGCGTTCCAGGAGCCTTGGGACCTTGACCAGGGAGTCACATCCTCCCCATGCCCTTCCCCACTTACTCCCCTACTTCATCCTGGAGACACCACTTGGCCATGTGGGTGACCCCCCAGCAGCCCAGCACCCCCGTCCCAGCCTGCCTCATTTCCAGAGACCTCCACCCTCTCACCTCCCAAAACCACCCCACTCAGAAATCTTAGTTCTAGGGTCCCACTCTGGCCCCAACTTTCTCTCCTTCTAGCCCCCAGTATTAGAAGGAATGAGACAGTGATCATTTATTTACGGAGCTCCCAGGACACACCAGCCCGTGTCAGGACCTCATACGTACACCACCTCCTTGAATCCCACCCTTCCACTCCCTGTCTTGAACACCTCCCAAGTAGCCCCTCCTGATTTCACTCCCTTCCCACCCACTGCTAGACCCGCTTCAACTCCACTCATCCCTCCTGTGGAGACCTGTCCCTTCAGAATAACCTCCATACAAGGCTCCAGAGATCTAAAACACAGATCTGAGGCAAGAGGATTGCTTAAGACCAACCTGAACAACATATTGAGACCCTTATCTCTACAAAAAATTTAAAAATTAGCCCAGTGTGGCGGTACATGTCTGTAGTCCCAGCTACTTGGGAGGCTGAGGCAGAAGGATCACTTGAGTCCAAAAGTTTGAGGTTTCGGTGAGCCATGATCATGGCACTGCACTACAGCCTGGATGACAGAGCAAGAACTTGACTCAAAAAAAAAAAAAAAAAAATCTGGCTGGGGGCAGTGGCTCAAGCCTATAATTCCAGGACTTTGGGAGGCCAAGGCGAGAGGATTCCCTGAGCCCACGGGTTCGAGACCAGCCTGGGCAAACATGGTGAGACTTCGTCTCTACGATAAATCAAAAAATCAGCCGGGTGTGGCAGGCATGCCTGTAGTTCCGGCTACTTGGAAGGCTGAGGCAGAAGGATTGCCTGAGCCCAGCAGGTTGAGGCTGCGGTGACTGGGAGCATGCCACTGCACTCCAGCCTGAGCAACAGAGTGAGATTCCAACTCAAAAAAAACCAACTATTTATTTGTTTGTTTTTTGTTTCTTTTTAGAGATGGCAGTCTTACTATGTTGACCAAGCTGATCTTGAAATCCTGGGCTCAAGAGATCCTCCCACCGCAGTCTCCCAAAGTGCTGGGATTACAGTTGTGAAGCCACCGCACTCAGCCTGAGCCCCCAGTTAAAGCAGCTCAAAGGGAAAGCCGAGACTTGAAAACACAGACTTGACCAGGCTCTTTCCAGCCTCTCATTGGTTCCCAGCTATCCTCCTAGCAAGCTCTGGGCTGGCCCTGGGGGCCCTATGGGACTGGCCCCTGCTGACCTACGCAGCCTCCCACTCTTCTCCCCCTCACTCTGCAAGAATGGCCGGGGATTCTCTAAACTCACCTGTGATTGCCAGCCTGCCCATGCTGTTCCCTTGGCCCAAGTGCCACTGCCCCGCCCACCCTCCTCCACCTGGCCAGTATCCATCCTAGACCCACACATTTCTAGAAGTCATGGACTGACAGCCAAGTGCCCTGATACTACTTTCATGGTTCCCACAGGATGTTGGAATGTGATGGGTACGAGACGACGGTTACCAACAAACTGAGTGCCACCTCTTCCCTAAATAGCTTCTGGGAAATGTCCACCTCATGGGCTGAGAGCAAAGGGATTTATTCTCCACCCCATCACCCTGGTTTTGAGAAGACAGTAAGGATCCCAGAAAGGGCACACAGCCTGAGGTCACACAGCCCCTCGGGGACACAACCAGGGCCTCCTGGACCTCTGCCTGCAAGACGGAAGCATGTGTGTTTTTAGGCAGCTTTAAAAGCGTTCTCCGAACCTTCCCCGCCTTCCAAGTTGTGCGAGGCTCTGGCTCAGCCTAGTCAAGTGACCCCGAATCCCAGATGAATGCTAGCCGACTCTGAGTCCTGCTCTGAGCTGGCCTTGGCATGTTCTCAAGAAATTTGTGAGACTTGGGGTTGAATCTTCAGTCAGGCTGCCTGTCCAGGCACCCCCACTGGCCCCTGAACAGGAGGTCCAACCAGAATATGCACCCCAGCCACCAAGTGCTTGGTGTTCCCTCACCCACATAAGGCTTTCCCAGGATCACAGACTCCCAAAGCCCTTAAAGACCCGTAAATTCCACACTGATCCCCTTCACAATGGCAAGCAGCTGTCCCACCTCTACCACACACCCCTTGGGGTGAGACACTCACTACCCCCTTCCCCATGCGCCCCTTCCACCTGGGCCACTGCAGCACTGAGGGCTGGACGTGTCCCTCTGGCTGAGCTGGAATTTTGTGTCCTGCAGCTTCCTGCCCCCGCCCACCCTCATGCTGGGGCTGACCCTAACCACGGAGGGTATATTAACAGCTGAGGTCTGTGCAGAACCCCAACACCGGGTCTTCTACCCACACTGTGGTAGACTGAATGACATCTCCTCTCCACAATGTCTACATTCTAATCTCTGCAACCAGCCAGGCACTGTGGTTCATGCCTAGAATCCCAGCACTTTGGGAGACTGAGGCAGGAGGATCGCTTAAGCCTAGGAGTTCAAGACCAACCTGGACCCCATAGTGAGACCCTGTCTCTACAAAAAAAAAAAAAAATCAGTTAAGCATGGTGGCTCATGCCTGTAGTGCCAGCTACTTGGGAGGCTAAGAAAGGTAGATCCTTTCAGTTCAAGAGATCGAGGTTACAGTCAGCCATGATTGTACCACTGCACTCCAGTCTAGGCAACAGAGTGAGATCTCAACTCAAAAAAAATTAGTTGGGTGTAGTGTTGTGTGTCTGTGGTCCTACCTACTTGGGAGGCTGAGGTCCAAGAACTCAAGGCTGCAGTGAGTAATGATAGCACCACTGCACTCCAGCCTGGGTGACAAAGCAAGACTTTACCTCTAAATAATAATAATAATAATAATAAATCTTCATAACTTATGGCTGTTACCTTATATGGAAAAATAGACTTTGTAGATACAATTGCATTAAGGATCTCAGAGAGATTATTCTCCATTATTCAGGTGAGTCTTCGATGCAAACACAAGTGTCCTCACGGAGGGATGCAGAGAGCGTGACTCGAGACAGAAGAGGAGAAGGCACTGGCCACGGAGGCAGTGACTAGAAGGATCAGCCACAAACCAAAGAATGCCAGCAGCCACCAGAAACTGGAAGAAGCAAGGAAGGGTCCTCCCATAGAGCTCCAGCAGGTCCTTGGCCCTGCTGAGTCCTTGGTTTTGGCCCAGTGATACTATTTGGGACCTCTGGTCTCCAAAATCTGAGACAATTAATTGTTGTTGTCTCTGTTACCAAGTTTGTGTGATTGGTTACATTAATCACAGGAAACTGACATATGCCCCTATCAGTTTCTCTCCCAGGTCCTGAGAGGGAGCTTACAGTAAGTGAAGGAGGCTGAAGCTGGGAAGAAGTAAGTGACTTGCCCAGGAATACACAGCCAGTTAATACAGCAAGTGGAACTGAGTCTTTTTCTTTCCCGTTTTTTGTTTGTTTGTTTGCTTGCTTGCTTGTTTGTTTTTTGAGTTGGAGTCTCACTCTGTCACCCAGGCTGGAGGGCAGTGGCACACTCTTGGCCACCGCAGCCTCAAACTGCTGGGCTCAGGCAATCCTTCCGCCTCAGCCTTCCAAGCAGCTGGAATTACAGGCACGCACTGCCACACCCAGCTAATTTTTTTATTTATTGTAGAGATGAGGTCTCACCAAGTTGCCTAGGCGGGTCTCGAACCCACGGGCTCAGGCAATCCACTCACCTCGGCCTCCCAAAGTGCTGGGATGACAGGCTGAGCCACTGAGTCCAGTTCCTGTTTTTTTGTTGTTGTCGTTGTTGAGTTGGGGTCTCACTCTGTCGCCTAGGCTGGAGTAGAATGGCATAAGCACGGCTCACCACAGCCTCGACCTCCTAGGCTCAGGCGATCCTTTGTCCTCAGCCTCCCAAGTGGCTGGGACTACAGGCATGCACTACCACACCTGGCTAATTTTTTATTTTTGTAAAGACGCGATCTCACCATGTTGCCCAGGTTGGTCTCAAACTCTGGGCTCAAGTGATCCTCCTGCCTCGCCTCCCAAAATGCCAGGTAGTGTGAGCCACCGTGCTTCTGCTGTGGGGCTTTTAGGATTCAATTGGTCTTTGCTCTGGAGACAATAATCAAGTCACAGGCCAAGACAAACATCACAGTTTCACTCAAAGCATGAACTCACAAGCTTCCCTGAGCTCCTCCTATGTGCCAGATGACCGCTCCCAGCTAAGTGGGGAGACATGCAAGTCCATTAACAACCACAGGCAGCCCCAGAGGCACCAGAATGCGGAGCTTCAGAGTTCCAGCTTTGCAGTCAGAGGGACTTGAATCCTGGCTCTGTGTCACCCTGGATAAGTTACTTAACCTCTCTGATCATTCATCTTCTCATTTGCAATTCAGGAATACCTTCCTCTGAGGGTCTTTTAGACAAAATGCTTGGCCTGCGGCCTGAACTAAAGTAAAAGCTTAATAAGCAGTGACGCAAGAAGGGAAGGAAACTGTGGGCAGCAGCATGGCTGGGGCACAGGCACAGCCAAGCGAGAAGCCATGGATATTCTGGAAGTTACACAACACTCTCTCTAGGCAACAGAGAGTGAGATAGGGACAGGACGGGAGGCAGGGGAAGAAGGAGGAGGTAAATATAGGTATGGCCACACCAACAGAAGCCTCAGGGAGGTTCAGGGGAGGGTGGGCTCCAGGAAGAACACAGAGTCCTCAGGAACCCGTCGGGGAGAGGGGGCCACAAGGAGAGTGGAAAGTAGCCACCAGCAAGGGAGAAGGCTAGGACGGAGGGTTCCAAGGAGGAGGAGAAGACAAGGAAGGAAGGATTGAAAACGTCCTTGGCTCAGCATCAGGAGTCCCTGGAGTCTTTGGAGAAGGGGGTCAAAGGTGGTGGGGGCAGGTGTGAGCACAGCAGGGCAGCAGGGCCAGTCAGGTGGAAGCAGGAGAGAGCATCCCCTGAGCTCTGAGTGCCAGCGCCTCCCACCCTCTTGGCAGGCTCCCTCATGCCCCCAAGGGATGCACACACAAAAAATCTCTAAACCAGAGAAAGGATGAGGTCGCCCAGGACTTCAATCGTCAGTTTGCAAAATGGGATGGCCTCACACAAGACCCCACGGCCCCTCCAAAGGACAGTTGCCTGAGACCCCCTTCATCCCGCAGACCCCAAGAAGCCTCACCCCCGGTCCTGCCAGTACCTTCTGGACCCCCACAGCAGCCCCCAGTAGTGAGGAGACAGGGAATTTGGCCCAGGGAGGACAAAGGAGCTACCTGTGGCCACCCAGAGCTAGCCACAGGCCTCCTGCCTACCAAGCTGGGTCCTGAGCCCTGCTGTCTTCCCACAGCACCATGTCCCCGAGAGACAACGTTTCGGAGCTCAGAACCTCAGAACTTCCTCAGACAAGTCGCCGAAGCTGGGCCAAGCACCCAGGGCCCCCAGAGGCCCTCACCTGTCCTGGCTGCTGCACGGCTCCTGGAAGCAGGGAAGCTGCAGCCCATGAACCACGCGGGCCTCAAACAGAAACTTGGGGGCCCAGAAGCCCAGGGCTCCAGTCACAAAGGCCATGGCAGTCACTCCGAGCGTTGACCACACGAAACTCCAGCTACAAGAGAAGGCACCTGAGATGAAGTCGGGAGAGGGCAGAGGCTGAAGAGTCCTGTCTACTCCCATCACCCCAGGTCCAGCTTCCAGATTCTTCCCGGCAGCACCCTGCTCTCCAGCCTCCTCTCCTCTCTGCAGGACCAAACCTCCCCCTCCTGAGAAGCCCCGACCCAACATTATGCCTCCAGAAAGCTGTCCCTGCCTGCCCCGTCTTCCTCCGAGTCCCCTCCGCCAGTCTCACTGCTCTGTAACAGAGTTGATTCCTGTCTGTACCCCATGTTGCAGTGATAGTGAGGCCCAGCCCTGGCGGCTGATTCCTGTCCGCCTCCCCCAGCATGCCCAGGATTGAGAATGAGGCGCTCCCATGAGGCTTGGGAGGACAGTGATGAACTCTCAGCCTCCTCCTAGCAACCCTGAGATGCGGGCAAGGCTGAAGATTCATAGCCAATGAATAAATGAGGAAAATGAGGTTCTGAGTCTCGGGGTCACTTAGGAGTAAGACAGTGGCAAAGGCGAGGTCAGAGCTCCCACCACCTGTCTCCTTCCCTGCCCATATTTCAGTCACATGGCGAGGGGATGGGGCCAGAATCCCAAGTGAAGGAGGGATATCTCAGTTGGTAAGAGGGGTCTCAGAGGAAAAAGGGGGCTGAACATTGGAACAACCTGGGAGGGCTCCCTGGGGATAGAGAGAGGGAGGTCAGTGGTGCTGAGCTGACTGAGGGGTTTCCTGTGACTTGCAGGGGTAGCAAGGACACTCACTTTCTCCCCAGGTACCTGACGTCCTCACACCAACTGCTCCTCAGGCCTCCCGAAGCCATCTCCTCCTGCCTCTCGGCTGCTCCCCGGGGTGGGTCTGGAACCAGCAGGATAAGCAGGATCAAGGCCACGGCCTCCAGGCAGGGCATGATCTGGGGACAGGAGGGCCCAGGAAGCTCAGGACTGCACACTCTTGCAGCCCAAGAGACCCTGAGGGTGGCTGGCCACAGCTCCAGTCACAGCGTCTGACCTCTGCAGCCCCGGGGGTGAGCCCAGGTTGGTGGGCACAGAGCTGGACATGCCACTGTTTCTCCCTCTCCCCTCCTGCAACCTTTCTGGCGAGTGGGGTCTCTTTGGGACTTGATTTCATATCTGTCTGTCCAGTAGAGACACTACTCCATTGGGATCAGCAGGCCTGAGATGCTGAGAACTGAAGCCGTGGCTACACTGGTCCTGACTAATGAGTACTTGCTGCCCAGTCCAGGCCTCCATCCATCACACCAGTCCTGCCCTGACATCCTCTCCTGGAGGTCCCCCTGCTCAAACCCCAAAGACAGAGATCTCAGTACCTGTCTTGGGGGAGCCCTTCAAACAGCTCAGACCAAGAGAAAATTCCTTTTTGTTTTTTTGAGCCAGAGCCTCACTCTATTGTCCAGGTGAGAGTACAGTGACATGACCACAATTCACTGCAACCTTGGCCTTCTGGGTTCCAACGATCCTTTCACCTCAGTCTCCTGAGTAACTGGGACCACAGGCACATGCCATCACAACTGGCTAATTTGTTTTGTTTTGTTTTTGTTTTTTTGGCTTTTTTTTTTTTTTGTAGAGACGAGGTCTTGCTATGTTGCCCAGACTGGTCTCAAATTCCTGGAATCAAGCAATCCTCCCGCCTTGGTCTCCCAAAGTGCTGGATTATAAGTATGAGCCACTGCACCTGGCCTGAGAAAGTTCTTTTTCAAGTCAAGTCAGACCTGCCTCCTTGAGGCCCACCTCACCCCCAAGTCCCCAATTCTGGCATCTGTGGCTTCATATGCCAGTTTCCTGGCCCTGGGATGGCCCCGCAGTGATCTGCACTCTTCCAGGACTGAGACCCCAGTCCCCTTGACCACTGAGTTCCTTTCTCTTCTGCTTGGTCCATATCCATGCCCGAATCTGAGCCAATGATGGTTGCAGCCCCAACAGGGCTCACCAGGTATCTTCCTAAGGTGTCTTGGTTCAACTCCTCAAGTAACCCTAGCTGTCAGTCCTTAAGGGCCCACTATCTGCCCTGGACTAGGACATTTCCATCTCTTAACTCACTAATCCCTAAGATTTCATAGGTAGCCTTTATTGCCCCCACTTTACAGAAAGGCAGACTGAGGTTACAAAGAGAAAGCTGACTTGCTCAAGATCACACAGCTAGTAAACTGAGCATCCAGGATTTGAGCCTGACCTCTTGGCCCATGTTTCATATGAGACCCAAATGTCTAAAGCTGCGAATGTCTGACCACCCTCCATGGCGCCAGGGACCCTGCCAAGTGGCAAAGGTCACCTGAGGCTGGAAAGTCCCCACTGGCCCAGGGGGAAAGCAAAGGGAAGAAAAGGAAGCTGGACTCACTCGGAGGGCCCAACGCCAGTTCCCAGTCAGCTCCGCCACAGCCGACCCCAGCACGTAGCCCAGACCACTGCAACAGAGGGGCAAGAAGCATGGGCCGTGAAGAGGGCCGGCAGGGTGGCAGGTCCCAGGGCCAGCAGGACCCAGGGCGACCCCACCCTAGGGAGCCAGCTCTCTGCAGCCTCACAGTATTTGCACTAAAAAAGAGAGTTACATGGGTTCCAGATGTCTACTGCCCTTGGTCAAGTCACCAGTGACCTCTGGCTCTAGGCCCAATCCCCAACGTCACTCTCTCCCCATATGAAAACACACCCCCACCCCCACCCCCATCCCTCGTGTCCAAGGCTCGGCCCTGCTAGAGGCAGGCGAGGTCAGGAAATCTGGGTCGGAACTCAGGGTCCTGACTGCAAAGCCCACCCTGTCCCGCCCTGCTGGGGGAGTGCAGGGCCCGGCCCTAACACTGATCCTTGCCTCGCCTCCCAGGGCCGGCCCTTTCCTGAGCTGGCCACACGCTCCACCGCCTCTTCTCATCCCTCCCAGGAGTGCACTAACCTGTGGAAAGCACCCTTATTACCTCGGCTCCTCTCCACAGCCCATCAGTTGGCGCTGTTGCCCTCACTTACAGACAAGGAAACTGAGGCTGGGAGAGGTAAACTGACATGGGGAGGAAAGGTTGCCTGGGGACTCAAATCTCAGCCCTCCCGGTTTGACCTCTCCTACTCCAGCCCAGCCCCTGTTCTGACTCCTTTGGGCCTCAGTTTACCACCTGGGGAAGTGGATCTAGGAGTGATACCAACCTTCCAACGGGAATAAAGATGTAGAAGATGGCCAGCACACGGGTCCGCTGGTCCCTCACGAAGAGGTCACCCAGGACGGTGGGCGCGATGGTGGAGTAGCTGGCTGAGCCAGTGCCCACGACGCCCCGGGACAGGAAGAAGAGCCAGGAATACTGGGTGAGCCGGGCACAAAAGTGCAGTGAGTTCCAGAAATCTCCCACGGTGCGAGGGACCCAAGGATTCGTCAGAGAGGCCAAGGGGACCTCAGGACATAGGGCCCCAGAGGGGAGAGAGGGACACCTCACTGCCACCCCACCCCAGGTTCCCAAAGTCACACGGGTGCCCCCTGCTGGTATATGCAGACACCGCCTGCCACTAGCCCAGGAGAGCCCTTCTCCTGGGTCTTGGCTTTGCTCACTGTCCCCAAGACAGTAAGTAACTGTTACCTTCACTCCCACCCAAGTCGAGTTGGTGGAAATGAAGTGGAGGACAACAGTGGGAGGCTCAGGAGAGGAGGCCACCTGTTAAGAAAGTCTAGGTAGGGTGCGGTGACTCATGCCTATAATCCCAGCACTTTGGGACATGGAGGTGACAGGATTGCCTGAGTTCAGGGCTTTGAGACCAGCCTGAGCAACTTGGCAAAACCTCATCTCTACAGTAAGTCAAAAAATTAGTCAGGCATGGTGACGCACACCTGTAGTTCCAGCTGCTTGGAAGGCTGAGGCAGAAGGATCACCTGAACCCAGCAAGTCAAGGCTGCAGTAGCCGTGACTATGCTACTACACTCCGGCCTGGGCAACAGAGTAAGACTCCCACTCAAAAAAAAAGAGCTGGGCGTGGTTGTGCACGCCTGTGGTTCCAGCTACTCTGAAGGCTGAGGCAGAAGGATCACCAGGTTGAAGTTGTGGTAGCCATGTGTGTGCCACTCCAAGGCTGGGTGACAGAGTAAGACTCCTACTCAATTTAAAAAAAAAAAAAGACTGGGCGTGGTGGCTCAAGCCTGTAATCCCAACACTTTGAGAGGTCAAGGCGAGAGGATTGCCCAAGCTCAGGGGTTCGAGACCAGCCTGGGTAACTTGGAGAGACTATCTTTACAACAAATCAAAAATTAGCTGGGTATGGTAGCACACGCCTGTAGTTCCAGCTACTTGGAAGACGGAGGCAGAAGGATCTCCTGAGCCCAGAGGGTCAATGCTGGAGTAGCCGTGAGCATGCCAGTGCACTCTAGCCTGGTCGACAGAGTGAGACTCCAACTCAAAAAAAAAAAAAAAAAAAATAGGAAGTCCAACCGGCTCTGCCCTGCTCGGCTCAGGCCCAGAGGCAGCACCCTCCAGCCCTGGCAGTGCAACCCCTGAGCCAGTCAGAGTCAAGAATGGAGCCAAATCACCCCCCCACCCAGCTCTGATGGGGCTGGGTCAAGGGGGAAGCAGGTGCGGAAAGGTCACCAGGGGGTGTGGGCACCCACGCGGGGAGAGATGAAGGAGCTGGAGAGGCCAGCCCCTGACCACAGCAAGATCCCGAAGCTCAGCGTGGCCTTGCGGCTGTGTCGGTCGCCCAGGTAGCCAAACACCGGTGCAGACAGCAGCAGGCAGCCGATGAAGACTGGAGGAGAAACACAAGGGCGGCCTGGATCTTCCCACAATGGTGGGTGGGCAGGCCCAGGGAAGGAGCCTGACTCAGATGCCACCAGCTGGCACTTTGGAAGTGGGCCCAGGGCTTGAGTCGAAAAAGGTAAGGTGAATCTCACAATCCTCGACCAACTCACAGCCCACAGCCCGGAGTGTGGGGAACTGGGCCCAGGTTCAAACCCCAGCTCTGCATTTGCTCCAAGTGTTGCTCCAAGGCTGGAGAAGTCAGCATCCCCTTCCCAGGCTGGTGCAGGTGAGACGAGAGGTGAATGTGGAGCGACCAGCATGCAGTGGATGCCAGTTTCCTATCCTTACAAGGACACGGAACCCCTGTGAGCGTGGATATCAGGACTGGTCTGATTTGTCACTCATACACCTGCTGGAAGGAGGGGAAGCTGGAGGAAAGGGAGGTCAGCCTGGAGCCTGCTTTGACCAGCAGATAAGGATGGTTTAAAGTGAGCCTATTGAGGCCAAGTACAGTGGCTCATGCCTAGAATTCCAGAATTTTGGGAGGCTGAGGCAGGAGGATCATTTAAGACCAGGAGTTTGAGACCAGTATGGGCAACATAGCAAGATACCCATCCCTGAGGGGAAAAAAAATGAATAAATACATCGACTATAAACCAGTGATGTTTCTAGAAGTTGATTTTTAAGTAGATAAAATATTCCCCAGACACAGTTGTAGTTTTGCCATTTTTTAAAAGTGAACCCCTATTAATATTGGTAACTGAATTAACGACTGCATTTGCTATTCTGTAAGGATAAACTGCCCCATTTTTGTTTGACTGTATACCACATGGCTGGGTGCACGCACTGCTTCTGTTCCTAAAATAAAATCTCCTCCACCCTCCAGGATGGTGAGTCCCTGCTTCCAAGCTGGGAGAGCCAGCAGATGGAGAAAGAACTGTCTGCACCCTCATCCACCTGGTTCCACCATCTAAGGGCCTTAGGCTTTGGAGGTGTCCCAGCACCTGGGTCTCCATTCCTGAGCACAGATGATTGACATTTCCTGAGCGCAATGAATGTCCAGACTTTTGCCAGTTACGGTTTCTGCTCCTCCCACTCCCACATGACCCGCTCTAGAATTGGTTTGAGCCATATGCAACTGTGGAAATTAGGCCAGTTTTGATCTACAAAAAAGGCAATTTAATATGGCTCAACCTAATACTCCACAGAGAATGATCTTTGGTGTCAATGGCATTTAACATTTTAATAGCTCCTGCCAAAATAGGCCTCAATGAGGCTGTATCCATTTTCACTGGCATAGAAGTATATAGCAGTGCCCTTGCTGACACTGGACATGACCAATCATTTTATTTTTGTTCCACTAATGGTTGAAAAACAAATAGTGTCTGGCTGATGTCTTCATCTACATTGTCCTTATTCCCAGTGAGACAGAGCAACAGTTCCTGTGTTTGTATCTCTCTGCCTATTGTTCTATTGGGCTGTTTGACTTTTAATACATTTTGGAACTCATTTCTGCCTGTGTTTTATATTTGTTTGAAAAATAAAAAAAGGTACCGGCATGGTGGCACATACCTGTAATCCCAGCACTGGGAGGCGGAGGCGAGAGGATTGCCCGAGTCCAGGGGTTTGAGACCAGCCTGGGCAACATGGCGAGACCTCATCTCAGCAATAAATCAAAAAAATTAGCCGGATGTGGCAGCGCTCACCTGTGGTTCCCGCTACTTGGAAGGCTGAGGTGGAAGAATCACCTGAGCGTGCTGATCAAGGCTGCAGTGGCCACAAGCGTGCCACCACACTCCAGCCCGGGCAACAGAGACTCCTACTCAAAATAAAAAAGAAAAGAAAAGAAAAACTAAAAAGGTAAACTCTGGGGCCAAATTACCAGGGTTTAAATTCTGGCTCCCCACTTTCCAGATGTGTGACCTTGGGCGAATTCCTTGACTCTCCGGTTTCCTTTTCATCAATGACACAACAGTAATAGTATTTCCCTCATACAATTATTGAGAAGATTAAATAAAATAAAGCCTACAAAAGGCATCTGAATGGCTTTATGCAAATATCCAATAAAATATTATCTATTATTATTGCTAATTGTTTAGTTTAAATCACCACCTTACAGGCGTGTTTATTTAGCTTTGATGTAGTCAAATGTATTCATCTTCCTATCTCCCGGGGGTGGGGGTTGTCTCAAGTCCTGTTTATGCATATCTTCTCTACCCAAAGGTTAAAAATATTTCCCTGTATTCCCAATATGCGGGGATCATTTGCAGGATATAAATGCCCTAAATCTGCATATGCTCTGGGATTCTGCAGGGGCCCTTCCCAAGGGAAGGCAGGCACTCTGACTTCCTAGCATCTCCAAATTCAAATCACTTGCATGCCAAAGTGGGGAAAATGAGCAGACACAGAATTCAAAGACAGGCTCTAGAGACAGACTTCCTGGACCCGAATCCCAGCTTCAGCCAGTCTCATAACCTCTGTGAGCCTCAGTTTCATCATCTCCAAAATGTGCATAATAATAATACCAACTTCATGGGATTGTTGTAAAGATTATTAAGTTTATGTTTAAAGCACTTAGGGCCGGACACGGTGGTTCACGCCTGTAATCCCAGCACTGCCAGAGGTGGAGGTGAGAGAATTGCCTGAATCCAGGGGTTTGATACCAACGTGGGCAACTTGGCAAGATCTCGTCCCTACAATAAATCAAAAAATTAGCCGGGTGTGGTGGAGCACGCCTGTAGTTCAAGCTACTTGGAAAGCTGAGGCAGAAGGATTGCTTAAACCCAGCAGGTCGAGACTGCAGTAGCCATAAGCATGCCATGCACTCTGCATGAGCAGCAGAGTGATGCTTCGACTCACAAATAAATAATTAAAAAGAAAAAAATTTTTAAAGCACTTAGGTCTCGGTACAGTGGCTCACGCCTGTAATCCCAGCACTTTGAGGGACCAAGGCGAGAGTGTTGCCTGAATCCAGGGTTTCAAGACCTGCCTGGGCAATTTGGCAAGACCACATCTCTACAATAAAAAAAATTAGCAGCCGGGCTCGGTGGCTCAGCCTGTAATCCCGCGCCTTTGGGAGGCTAAGGTGAGTGGACTGCCTGAGCCCACAGGTTCGAGACCCACCTGGGTAGCGAGAACTCATCTCTACAATAAATCAAAAAATCAGCCGGGCATGGTAGTGCATGGCCTGTAATTCCGGTTACTTGGAAGGCTGAGGCGGAAGGATAGCCGGAGCCCAGCAGGTTGAGGCTGTGGTGGCCGGGAGCGGCCACTGCACTCCAGTCTGGACGACAGAGTGAGACTCCAACTCAAAAAAAAAAAAAAAAAAAAAAATTAGCCAGCCATGGTGGCGCATACCTGTGGTTCCAACAACATGGAAGGCTGGGGCAGAAGGATCACCTGAGCCCAGCAGGTGGAGGCTGCAGTGGCCATGAGCGTGCCACTGTACTCCAGCCTGAGTGACAGAGTGAGACTCCAACTCAAAAAACAAAAAAATATGTTTGTAGAACTACATACTCCTTCACATTTTTTCTCCTGATATTTAAAATGTTTTTATCATGTTTGACTTGTTGCCAAGGATGTGATTTCCAGTGTTACTGTGTATTTCTTTATATTTTCATCCAAACCCTTGGAGCTGCAGGTTGAATTCATTCCATCTGTGGGACATGCCCACCATAGAGTCTAAGTAGTTCATGTCCATCTGCCTTTGCCAAAACAATCAGACAAATCAGACTGATGGTAAGAAAAATGCTGGCTTCAGCTGGGCGTGGTGGCTCATGACCCAACTCTCCCCACATTGTAATGGGACATGTGGCTGCTCCCTGCTGCTAGACATTAGGATCTCCATGGGGTCCGAGCCCATCTGAGACCCTGTGGAGGCACGTGACTGTGTCTGTCTGTCTGTCTGTCGGTAGTCAGTTTTCTCAGGTCTGTGAGAGGAAAGCACGCATCAGGATTCTCATCCCCAGAGAGTCTCTGGTTCACAACTGAGCTTAGCAATGTGAGGGGGATGGTGGTAGCTGCACAGCCAGGAGCTGGCGCCCAGGGGCCCCTCCCAGCCCTGCTCTCTCTCTGCTTTCCCCACAGCTCGAGACACTCAGACTAATGGTGCAGTTCAAACTTCCCCTCCTCCTCCTCCTCTTCCTCCTCCTCCTGCCCAGATGGTTCCTCATGCCCAAACCCACTCAGTGGGGTTGGAGCTGGGCATAGATCACAACCTACTAAAAGACCCCACCCCAATAGGAACTCAGGGACCCGGCTCCAAGGTTTGGGACTCACTCCTTACCCGTCTGAAGCAAGCCAGCGCTGCTGTCACTGATATGAAAAACCTTCTGCACATCCAGCAGAACTCCTGTGGACGGAGGGACAGTGCTCGGGAAGTGAGAAGTAGCCCACCTGGCCTCTAAAGACAGCTGCCCTGAGCTTGGAACGTGGCCACAGCCAGGCAGCACAGCACAGGTCATGGCACCTGGGCCCACTATTCTCTCCCCATCTCTCCCTCATATGTGTACAACCACACACAAACACTCACATAAAAGCAGGCACAGAGAGACATGCAGACATCAAACACACAGAAACAAGCATCCTAAAGGCACAGACACACGTACACACACACTTAAACACAAGCATTTACACTCACAGTCATAGACAGACACACGGGCATACAAAGTACACACAGACATTCCCAGAGAAATACACTTGCAGAGGTACAAACATCCACACACACAGGAGCCCAATCGCACGTGTAAACCCAGTCTCATATGCCCAGACACACATCCACGTAGACAGTGAGATGCACACACCACAGGCCTGTATGCCTATGCACACGCACAAGGCTGCCATCCACACTGTAGTCAGAGTGACCGGCGGCCCCCTGTTGCTTCACAGCGCACAGCCTTCACTTACACCACTGTGCAGTGGAAGTTGTGCAACACAGCAGCCCTGCTGGTGCACAAACACCAGACGTGCATAGACGTGCACATACACTCAAAGGCACAAGTGCCTGGCTACTTGGAAGGCTGAGGCGGAAGGATCACCGGAGCCCAGCAGATCGACGCTGGGGTAGCCATGAGCGTGCCACTGTATTCCAGCCTGGGCAACAGAGTGAGACTCCAACTCAAAAAAAAAAAAAAAAAAAAACAGATATAAGTGCCCTGACCTCGCACACGTGTACACACAAGCATTCTCTTCCAGAAGCATAAGCACAGCACAGAGTCCTCAGCCTAATGCAGAGAGACACCAGGCTCTGTTCCCTGGTAAGCCCTCGGTGGTATCTCAGAAAGGATCAGCGTCTGTGGCACCTGTTCGTGTGAGCCATGTGGCTCTGGCTCTGTCGTGATTATGAAGAAGAACAATTATCACCTTCCTGAAACATGGGATGGCTGAGGGCCTTGGCCCTGAGAGGGACACTGCAGTTGTTATCTTAAGAGGTGGAGATTATCATTGTTCCCATTCTACAGATAAGGAAACACGCTCCAGATACCCAAGATTGCACATCTGGAATTGGGGGAGCTGAGACTCAAATCCCAGCAGCCTGTCCTCCCACATAGTATCACAGAAGGGGATCAGGAGCCCCAGGTGGGCCTCGCAGAAATGCCCACACGAAGCAAGCCCCTGTGTGCACTCCTCCAAAACTTGCCAGCAGGTGAATAAAGACCAAGGAATCAGAGAAGCCAAGTCGAAGACTTTTGTTAGACGTTTCATTTGCACACAATTGCCACAGCTTACAGGCATACAAATCAGTATGTCTTTTCTCCTCTTTTAATATTTTTAAGTACATAAAGAAGACACAGTTGGCCAGGCTCAGTGGCACAGCCTATAATCCCAGCACTTTGGGAGGCCAAGGCGAGTGGATTGCCTGAGCCCACGGGTTTGAGACCCACCCGGGCAACTTGGCAAGACCTCGTCTCTACAATAAATCAAAAATTAGCTGGGCATGGTAGCGCGCACTTGTAGTTCTGGCTACTTAGAAGGCTGAGGCAGAAGGATCTCTGGAGCCCAGCAGGGCGAGGCTGCGGTAGCCAGGAGCGGCCACTGCACTCCAGTCTGGGCAACAGAGTGAGACTCCAACTCAAATAAAAAGAAGACATAGTCAACGGAGACGGAAAAACATAGGCAACACAGGAAAGCAAAATAAATAGCTAAATAGATGTGCTCTATAACTGTGCTCATCTTCCAGTTTTAGAAATGTGGACTCACTTCCTTGTTTTGTCTCCTCCTGGGCTGCTTCCAGCCCTGTGGTGCCCTGGGGGTTGCCCAGGCCAAGTGTGGACCCAGTCTTGCATTTACTTACTTACTTAGAGTCAAGGTCTCACTCTGTCATCCAGACTGGAGTGCAGTGGCACAATCCTGGCTCACCCACAGCCTCAACCTCCTGGGCTCAAGTGATCCTCCCACCTCAGCCTCCTGAGTAGCTGGGACTACAGGTGTGCACCACCATGCCTGGCTAGTTTTTTCTTTCTCTTTTTTTTTTTTTTTTTGTAGAGACAAGATCTCGCTATGTTTCCCAGGCTGGTCTTGAACACCTGGGCTCAAGCAATCGTCTCACCTAAGCCTCCCAAAGTGCTGGGATTACAGGCATGAGCCACTGTGCCCGGCCCCAGCCAGGCTTTGAACCTGCCACCCTGGCCTCCTCAAGAGCTGCACTTCACCAGAGTATTTTAGCTGCATGCACACCGCCTGCTCCACCAGCCTCCCACGGTCAGCATGGTTTCACTTCTTCAGGCCTCCGTTGCCCCAGAACCACAGTCTCTCTTCTTGCACATCCAGAGGAAGTGCGAAGGGGGAAGGGGCCCAGGCAGGCAGAACTCAGGGTCTCACAGCCCAGCCAGGGGCCTTCAGGGGAGGGACAGGGAAAGCAGGCTCCAGGGCTCTGAGAGCTCCATGCCAGTGATTCCGGGCTCCCACCTGCCTCGTGTCCTTCCCTCCTCTTCCTGCCCACCCTGCAACTCAGAGTTCCTCAGCTTTGGCCTGATCCATTGCAGTCACCTCTGAACTGTCCCCCTGGCTCATTTTGTCTCCATCGGGGCCTCAAATCTGATTATATTCCCCTACTTAAAAATTTTTTCCTGGCCAGGCACACCTATAATCCCAGCACTTTGGGAGGCTGAGGCAGGAGGATCGTTTAAATCCAAGAGTTCCACACACAGCCTGGGCAACATAGCGAGATTTTGTCTCTACAAAAAATCAAAAGAGGTCAGGCGCAGTGGCTCAAGCGCCTGACCTCTTTTGATTTTTTGTAGAGACAAAATCTCGGGCAACAGAGTGAGACTCCAACTCAAAAAGAAAAAAAGACAGCAACTGAGTCTGAGCCCCCAGAACACCATTATTCCACAGCTGCTCTCTGGTATGCCAAGCTGGTAACTGATGAATCAGTGTTCTGGCCTTAGGGGTTTCCATCACCGCAGGCACCCTCCTGCGCTCCCAGCCTGATCTGTGCCCCCATCATTTGGCCTACCTCTATGCCTTGCAGGATTGCCAGATTCTCCCTGGGGTCCAGAACTACATGTCTGATTCCCCCCCTGGGTCCCCAGAGCATCCTGACCACAGTTAATGCTTAGTCAATCTTGAATGAATGAATGAATGAATGAATGAGCAAGTGAATGACAGAAGACAGAAGAAGGTTGAGCCCTGAGGCCTACAAGAAGGACAGCAGAATGTGCAAAGTTTACAAACATCCTGCTGTCCTAGAAACACAGACAGCAGGAGCTGTTCTTGCCTGGGAGCTGGGCCAGGCTGCCCTGTCCTCCACCCAGAACCCTGAAGTCTTTGCCTAGAAGGCTTGGGCCCTCCTGCTGTGCTCAGCCATCTATCCCCTATGGTGTTCTCGTCCCCACACCACTGGGCCCCCTCTTAGTTTGGGACTGGATTGGAAAATCCATTGACCCTTCCCCTTTCAGACATGGCTGAAAACCACCTCCAAGGGTGAGAACACCAGTGATGTGCTCCCTGAGCAGAAAGATAGATGGAAGGCCTCTGTGGATCTGCAGTCACCAGCTGGCAGGGGACACCTGCAGATGCTGCCCCAGAATGGCTGTCCCCTCCTCACCTGCAATGATGAACCAGTTCATGTAGTTCAAAAGGTTGACATAGCAGAGCACCGCGGCAGCCACGTAAGCCCTCCAGCGGGGCAGGCTCCAGGGGATGGGGGTGAGCCGAGGGAGACATCGGCCTGAGGTCCCATCCTGCCTGCCTGGCCCCAGGGACTGGCCCTGAAGTCCTTCTGTCCCAGGCTCGGGGCACTCTGCAGACATCCCCCCAGCTGCACCAACCTGCAGCTCCTGGAACAGGCGCCAGTGCAAAGACGCATCAGCTCAGCACCCAGTCACTTCCTGTGGGCTCCTGGGCTCTCAACCTCAAAGCAGCTGCCCTAACTGTTGAACATCTTATCACAGGTTCCTCCTGAGACCACAGTGGCCTCACAGTGAGATTTCACCACCCTCAGCATCTGAGACCAGCTAGGGAGGAGAAAGTCTCCAGGCACCCCCCACCCTGGGGGACGGGACAACTCTGCAGTTTCCTTGATCTAGCCTGAAGCTGCAGCGGCTGTAGTGAGGAAGGGAAGCTCCCAGGACAGGAAATGAGATGAGCCTCCCAGAGTCCTGATCACTGTGAGATGGGCCAGCGGCCCACATAAGCGGAGGACTGGGAACCAGCTCCTTGATCCAGGTCAAATCAGGAAGGCTAGATGTTGGTCAGGACAGTGTCACAGCACAAGATGTCAGGGAAGGCCAGCACCTGCCCAGTGTCTCAGACCCTACCTGGAGAAACAAAGATAACAGAGGGGACTGCCAACATGAAGACAGCTTGCAGGCAAAACTCATCAGGGGGTGCTAAATTAGCGGGAAATGTCCAATGAGGGGAAGGATATTGGCATGTTCCTAAAGTAGCTCTTTACAGATGGTATATTAGTAGCAAAGGAAAGAACAGTACCACATAGCAGAGGAAACGACATCTTGCTTGAGGGATTAAAATCATATCACCTGTGAGGGGTGGGTCGGCACTGCCAGCTGCCAGAAGAAAAGGCCTACGCAGGTCACGGCATTATCTACACACCATCCCAGCCAAAAGCACATGACCAGAATCTAGTCATGAAAAAACACCAGACAAGTCCAAGGTGAGAAACACTATTTTAAGTTGGAGTCTCACTCTGTCGCCCAGGCTGGAGGGCAGTGGCACACTCACAGCCATCCCAACGTCGACCTGCTGGGCTCCGGCAATCCTTCCACCTCAGTCTTCCAAGTAGCCAGAATTACTTGGAAGGGATTACAGGCTGTGCCACCGAGCCCGGCCTGAGAAACACTATTTTTTAAGGGACTTTATTAATTTAAAAATAGTAAAGTCAAAAGATTAAGAAAAACTGAGGGACAGTTTCAGATTAAAAGAAGAAGAAAGAAGCCGGGCTCGGTGGCTCAGCCTGTAATCCCATGCCTTTGGGAGGCTGAGGTGAGTGGATTGCCTGAGTCCACGGGTTCGAAACCCGCCTGG